ATGACGAACATTCGTCATGACCTTCCATCATTACTCCAACTCAGGCCGCGTGCAGTTAAGCCACCTCCCACTCCGAGTAGCGGCTCTATGACACCATCCTGGAACAAAGGCAAGGGCAAGCAGCCCACACAGGGCAAAGGCAAAGGAAAACCGAAAGGTCAGCAAGGAAAACAGCGTGTTCAGTGGATCACAGAGATCAAGCTTCCAGACGGCACTCTAAAACAACTTTGCATGAGGTTCCAAACAGGAGCCTGCACATTGGGAGACAGCTGCAAATTCTACCATGGTTGCGGTTACCCGGTCAAGGGAGTGGCTTGCGGTTTGCCACACGGTGCGACGCAACACCAGGCGACTTCTCACTGACTCACGATAGCGGCGTCTCACGTGTCACAAGAACAACGAGGTGGAATTCATGAAGCAGTTTCACAAACATTTTGCCCAGCAGATTCATTAGTGTCACCAACATCACTCGAGGTCTCTCTTCCAGCACATTCCTCAGAGGATCATAGAGAGCCAATGACTGTACCCCCAATTGAGCCACCTAGTTTGCCAACAGTGCCAACTCCGGTTCATCCATTGTTAAACAATGCGTTCAATGTTGCATCTTACATATTTTTGGATATTTGTTCAGGGTCTACCCGACCATTGTCTCAAGCCATCTTGAATCTTGATGGGGATGTCTTATCATTTGACATACTCTTGCATGACCTTATGGATCTTTTGGCAGATGAAAGCTTTGAACATTTACTCCGAATATGCTCTTCAGGTAAAGTCAGGTATGCTGGCGCATCACCAGCGTGTGCGCATTACTCCCGCTTGAAACCAGGCGGCCCTCGGGCCTTGCGGACACCGGACCAGCTGGATGGTGTCCCCGGCTTGACACCATCTGAGACCCTGCAACTGCAGGAATCATATCTGATGTTGTCACGTGTAATCACATGCCTTACCCTGGTTTTTCAGGCGGGAGGCCACGTGCATCTAGAGCAACCGCCAACTGCCATGAGTTGGCAAGAACCTTGCGTGCAACAGTTCCTGACTATCATATCCGCATTTTGCGTTCACCTTCCAGCTTGTCACTTTGACCGGAATTGGTATAAGAGCTGGATGTTTGCAACTAGCTATGAACCTTTGTCTGTACTGGGGAATGTTTGTGAACATGCACCCTTCAGCCATCAGCAGATTGCAGGTGTCCGTACTGACTCAGGTGAATACCTTAGTCGCCAAACTGCGTGTTACCCTCCGGATTTATCCAACCGGTTTGCGCAGATCATAATGCCATTACTCAGCAAGAACCACCTTGATTGGCAATGGCAGGATACAGCCAAATTGCTTCCAATAAAAAGCCCCAGTGAACCGCCTTTTGGTCAGGAAGATGGTGCCGGCCTCAGTTCCCAACCCGATTGGAGTACTGATCAACGCACGGCCCAGGATCATTTGCATGATCTGCGCACTTCTTGGATGAAGAAGATTGTAAACCTCAGGTTTGACCAAATCATTCAACAGTATTTTGCTGGGGACCATAGTGCACCACCGTTCTCAGCGGAACAGCTTGCTCCATTTCGTGTAGACTTGGAACAATTCCTGCAGTCTCTTGGCCATAACCCGGATTGGCAGGTGCGTGAACACCAACCCATGCATTTGCACATTCTCAGATCGTTGAGCCAAGTGTTGCAAGATAGAGATACATCGTTGTTTGATTGTCTCATTCGTGGCGTCAGCACGGGATTCCGACACGACATTCCAGTGAGCAACTGTTTTCCACCTAATGACCGCCCTTCTCCCCCAGAGACTCCACTTTCAGCTCATTTGTCAAACTGGCATAGCGCAGAGGAGGATCCAGCCCTCACACAGGAACTGATTGATAAAGAAGTTCAAGAAGGCTGGGCCTTCCCGTTTGACGGAAGTTTGGAAGAGGCCCAAGATCGTTGGCCGGTTGGGGTCTCGATCGGTAAGTTGGGTATTGCTCATTCGGAGGGACGTAGTCCCCGTTTAGTGTTGGACAATAGCATTTGTGGGCTTAACAGCCGTTGCCATATTCCTGAAAGAAGCACTCTTCCATCAATTAAGGACGTAGTCCGTTCGTACCCCATCCGACAGGTGGATGATTCTCACTTAGGATTCTCGTTGGACGTGAAGGCGGCGCACAAGCGTATCGTGCTTTTGGAGGAGGAACAGGGATTGGTAGGATTTTCTTTTCAACAACGCCTGTATTTTTATAGGGTAGCTCCCTTTGGCGCCACTTTTTCTGCATCTTGGTGGTCTCGCCTGGGTGGTTTCCTGCTGAGACTTATCCATTTTCTAGTGTGGGTCAGCCATGTTGGACTTTTATACGTTGACGACTTTCTGTTCTATCAATCCAGGTTCGCCATGCCACTTTCTGCAGCCATGATTTGCATTCTAGCTCAGATCACCGGCATTCCAATTTCATGGGCCAAATGTGAACTTGGCCCCACCATCCATTGGATTGGATGGCGCATTCATTTGAGCTCCGGGTTTATAGAGATCCCGCTTTCCAAGATTGAGAAGATGCTGAGATATATCAAAACCTTGTTATCAAATTCGCGTACTTCAAAAAGCAATTTGGAAAAATTGATTGGCCTCACCATGTGGATCACTCAACTCTTTCCATACATGCGAATTTGGGTGCGGCATTGGTACTCGGATCTATACGCTATCCCAGCTACGCATTTTAGTCTTGACCCCGGTCATTGGAGATCTTTGCCGAATCATTTGAATGACCAATTGATTTTCACGTCCCGACCGCCTGGATCTGCCATCCCTGTTGGTGGCAAACTTGTGTCAGTTCGCCATCAATCCTTGGAGACTCTCCAGGACCTTTCTAGAGTCCGCATCACTGACAAACGCATATGGATGAGGATTCGCGACCCCGCATCAACCAAGAGACATGTTTCTGTAAAATCCTGCCGGGTACTCAAACTATTTCAATCATGGCTTTCAGGTATTTCACCTCTTCGACCACTCATGCCCAAACCTTACTGGCCAGGTTTTGCAGCAGCTGATGCATGTGCATCAGGCACTTCTTGTGGTATTGGGGGATTCCTCCAATCACCGCATGGTAAAGTTGTTTGGTTTTCTGAGGTATACTCTCATTCAGACTTTGTTCAATTGGGAATAGACATCCAAGCAGACTTGCAGCGTTCCATTTCCTCATTTGAGACGCTTGCTCAGATTGCGTTGCTTTGTTGCACAGCAAGGATTTTCCCATCACATCGCATTCCAATTTGCTTGCGTAGTTTAAGTGATAATAGTGCCACCGAATCCGGAAGCAACAAACTTTGGAGCACTACCGAACCACTTGCAACATTCTTGGAACAACTTTGTTTGACTTCAGTTTCCTTGGGAGTTGAAATCGATGTGGGCCACATCTCCGGCCAGATGAATTATCTCGCAGACGCTCTTAGCCGTTGGGACCAGGTTGGAACCGTTCCCCACAATTTTAGCTTGCCAGATCGCATCCGATTGCCAATTCGAGAAATTTGGAAAGTCCGTCGCAGCCCATCCGTAGTTCCGGCTAGTGTTCAACTTCCATGGCAAATGCCATCTACGTGATGTTTTTCTCTTGCTGGAATTCCCTCACACTTCGATTGGGGATATGATTAGCGATAGAATTCCCAGATAGTTTTCATTAGGGGTTAACTTGGCCCATCTGGTCATTCTGCTGTTGCTTCGAACTGGGCACAGACCCATCCAATAATTCCAGCAAGCGAAAAAGAATGAATTAATAAAGTGCGACTGCATTCTGTGAACCATCCAATGCTTTTAATGGAAGAACAATATATTTATATATATAATTGTATTTGGCTCGAAGTGGAAAAGATTGAAGTCCTAGTAGAACTGTCAACGTACTTGTTCGTTTGTGTTTTACGTAGATCTTTCACATCTATTTCCAAAATATCATTTTGGCTCAAGTTGGACTTCAATCTTTCAGCAAATGCAGTCATGCTTCTGAAAAAACCCACCCACCCTCACCTGGTTGCATAACTCCGGTCATTGGATACGGCTGTTGTTCACTTTGGGGATTATTCTTCAAGTTTGTCTTCAGCTGTTTGTTTTTTCCACCTTCCAAGGTCTATGCCATTATCCACAACCGGAGTCCCTTAGGTCCGGCCATTTGGCCTCCGTACGTTCGCCGTAGCCTGAGTCCAGTACACCATTTGCATTGTAGCTCGCAGGTTTCCAAAGTCGCAAAAGTCACCATGGCCACTTTGGCCCAACATTCGTAATTTGCAGGTTCAGCATTTCTCATTCAGGCCTTTTGGCCCAATCATCCATTGCGATTACCTTGGCATTTTGCCAAACTTTTCACCATAGTTGCGTTGCATCCTGGATTGCCTTCCGTTTCACTTGCGCGTATCGTGAGAGCACTCCTTTGGTGGTTTTTAGCTTTATACCATAGCTTGGTCGGGTTTTGCATGTTGCTGCAGAGTTAAAGGAGCTCTCTCATGACATCCAACTTCGCTGTGCATTGCAATGATAGCTTATTAGTTTGGAGACATGGCACAAACGCTTTGGGCCATGACAAGTATCATGTTATTTGCCCATAATGATTTGCTTCAATGATCGATGTCTCCATTGATCCATTCGCAATACTCCAGCCTATTTGTCAACTTATCCAGCTAACTTCTGGCTATAGCACATTTTGCACCTACACCTACCTTTGTTTGCTTTTCCTTGGAGATGAGTTGACATGGACCAGAGGGGTTAACTTGGCCCATCTGGTCATTCTGCTGTTGCTTCGAACTGGGCACAGACCCATCCAATAATTCCAGCAAGCGAAAAAGAATGAATTAATAAAGTGCGACTGCATTCTGTGAACCATCCAATGCTTTTAATGGAAGAACAATATATTTATATATATATAATTGTATTTGGCTCGAAGTGGAAAAGATTGAAGTCCTAGTAGAACTTGCAGACAGCTAGAGAAACAGGAAATAAGCAGAAGGTAAAAGAGGCGAAGGAGGAGGTGAAGAGGCGAGGGAGGAGGTGAAAGAGGCGAAGGAGGAGGTGAAAGAGGCGAAGGAGGAGGTGAAAGAAGCGAAGGAGGAGGTGAAAGAGGCGAAGGAGGAGGTGAAAGAGGCGAAGAGGGAGGTGGAAAAGGAAAAGCGGAGGAGAAGGCAAAAGAGGAATCCTTGCTCTTACTTCAAAGGTTTGCCGGAGAGTTGGATGATCTTGAAGAACGCATTTTGAATAGCCGTATCGACAACAAAGAGGAGAGGCCTTTCTTGGAGAGAGATGAAGTGATTCAAGGAACGTAACAGAGATGAAGGAGACGCAGCGGCTGAAAATCAACAAGGCAAGAGTCGTTTGTTTGTGGAGCCCTCGAGGGACTGGAAAGAGCTTGGTGATTCGACGCTTGGTCGTTACGGATGAATTTGCAGAAAGCCGACGATGTGGACGCCTTCTGGTATGTGATGCACAGCAGATTGTTGACGCTCAATTTTCAGGTGAAACTTCTTCTAGGATTGTGTCTGCCATGGTCCTATGGCACCTTTTACGGCTACGGCGTTAAGTTGGCAGGACGGGTGGTCAACTTCAATTACACGAAGTTCATCGATGTGGTTGAACTCGTCAAAAAGTAGTTCCAAACCATTAGCTGGTCGTTTAAGCAGCTTTGAAACTTGGGTTAGAACATGCTGTCGGACCCTGGACGATGTTTTCAAGCAGTGGCGTTGGTAACGGAGCCTTCGACCCCCAACCAGACAGCCCATGTTTGGTGTTGTTGAATCAGACCGAGCTCCTGGTCGAGCCAATTTGAAGGACAGATCACCCAGTTCACCCGCATATGCAGCCAGTTTCCTCAGCAAATGGCTGTTTATTGCACAGGTACCATCAATATGCAGGTTGACTTGCCAGCCAGAGGAGTACACGCGTCTTGTTATTAAGTCTTTACCAGCCCTCATGCCATTATCTTTTAAAGGTGCCAAAAAAGCCATGCAGTGGGGAGGGACACAATACGACGAGAAGGTGCTCATTCAAATTGTTCGTTGCTTTGCTGGAGTCCCACGACTTCTGGAATTTGTGTTTCAAACAGATGGTGAATTAGCATCAACTCTTGAGATTGCAGTCAATGCCATGTCCGAATGTTTTAAAAATTCCTGTTCATCTGCAGCGCCTTTCTTCGATCAACCAGATGTGGTATTGTCGCTGGTTCTTTGCTCAGCCGTTCGGTAGGGTGTCGGAAGCGACAGGAAGCTTGTGCCTGGGACATCGACAAGGTGGTCAGACATTTTCAACGCAGGAGCCGCATTTCCAAATGGCACTTCTGTGTTGGTTCCGCTCGTTTGGTGGTGTCCGGAAAGAAAGGAACAGCTGGCTCAAAAAGGCCCAAGAGTTGAACATCAGCCTCGCAGGTCTCCTACCAGATCCTGCCGATTTGCTTCAGTCACAACGAGGCCCACTTTTCCGCGGGACATGGTGGGAAGAACAGGTTTGCAATGCTTTGGCCGCCCGTTTTCATTTGTTCTGCCTGGCAGCTGACAAAACTCCATGCGACACCTACGCACCATTCCTAGAGATCTATCCTACGACAGACAACCATCTACGCAGTGTATTGGAACAATTCAGTGTTTGCTGGAGCAACGGGGTCGAGTATCCAAAGAAGGAAGCAAGTGTCCTGGAGAGGGTCGGGAAGGCTGTCAAGTCCAACAAGAACATCAAGAATGCTCATCACGACTTGCTGATCCCCGTGAAGCGAATTGCAACAGGAGATCTAGAGTACATAGCCGCGCAGTGCCGTTACGGAAGTCCCAAAACTGTAACGGAGTTGACATACCAGGACAAAGCGCAGAAACCCAGGACGGGTGAGACGGGATTTGAGGTTGCTGGCATGCCGAATGTACTGCTGCAAATTTGTTCCACAAGTGAAGGGATGCAGAAGTTCCAGAAAACTACACCCTGGGCAAAGCGGCAAGAGGAGAAGAGATATTCACTGATGAGCTGTAAAGCTATCATTGCGCAGCTTCACCTGCTCCACATCTTGTGATACAACTGAATCATGTAGCTATGGCTTTAGCATGGCATGGCCAAAGTTGCCTTTCCCTCAAAAGTGAAGATGCTGAGGCATTTTGAAAAGCTTTGCTGCCCACCGACAGGATTTTAAGTTGCCTACCGACAAATTTCTAATTGCGGCACCAATGATCGTGCAAACCTTGACCTGGAGTAGCTGAATGGCAGCTGATTCTGCTCAAACCCCATGAGCGCTCGAATTCTTCAGGACACCAAAGATGTCAGTCAGACATGTCAAAACAGAAAAATGTTTGATTTGGTCCAGCACAGTCAAGGTGATTTGCTTTTTCAGTATGATACATTGTACAAGGTTCCGAGATTCTAAGTAAGGGTTCCAAGTGAAGGATCACATGGAGGATTTTTCCTAATTTTTCATAAGAAAACTAAAATAATTACAAGTTTCTCCCAGGTTCTCTTAAGAAACCTAGAGCATTTCCCCGGTTTTCCCTCGCCTCTTAAGAAGATTAAAGAATTTCTTGGCTTTCGTTTTTCCCACACCACCTCATATGTTCCAACTCCAGATCTGCCTAAACCCGAAACAGCGAGACTTGAAGTCACAAGCAGACACAGCGGTCACTGATAGATCTGAAGCCGTTCGAACGTCTCCACACGCCGAAAGCCATGGATCTTGGCGTTCGTCGTTTTTGCTCCAGTCAGCTTGTTGTGACAGGGACGGCCAGCGTGTGAAGTCCTGCAAGGTTGTCCTAGGCTTGTTGAGGCCACTGCAATACTGGGAGACAACAAAATGTTCCTGATGATTCTGATGAGATAAAATTTGTTGAAGCAAGTTTCGCAAACGCGGAGTTCAAGAACTTGGATACCGAGACACTTTTTGAACACCTCCAGGCCTGGATATGCAAGAGTCCTGATGGTGCAACATGGTGTTGGTTTTGGTTTCTTCAAGCGTTCCAGGTGAATGCTACCCAGCAGGGACGAACCGTGCCCATGGTCGCATTGGCCCTTAAATGCAGGGTTCAGTTTGGGTTGGTTCATATACTGTCTCGAGCAGTGTAGGCCTAGCCCACAGCGAACCTTTGTTTAAGTGTCAACTTTATGACTCATGTGGCCAAGTTCTTGCAAATCTGGAGCTGGGCATGGTTCATTCATGTCGGGTTTCATGGGTGGTGTCACGGTTCGCTCGTACCTTTCGGAGTGAGAAGCAATGACTTCTGCCGTTTCGGCCTTTTGGACCTTGAGACACTTGGCGTCTTGCCTTTGCATTCCTACAAACACTTGGCGGACAAAAAAGGTGAACGCCAAGACGTTGTAGACCTTCAAGTTGATGTTTGCAATTTCCAAACAAAGCGATTTGCTGGATAGAGAAAACAGAACAATAGTTGTTGTCCGTCAGTTGACTCAGCGTGGCTCAAGTGTTGCCCTGTAGAGATTTGTGATTGGTCAGACATGGAGGAGAAATTGTGGGTGACCGCACTCCTGCGAAACAACCCAAAGCTCAGAGAGGACCAAGTTTTGTTTTGGTTTGTAGATGTGATGTGATTTGCAGCTGTTTGGGTGGTGAGAACCTATTCCACCTTCTTGAAAGGCTATTGGGTTGACAAATTTTGAGTATTTAGAGTATTGATGTGATTGGATAGGTCGGATTCGAAGAAACTTTGCCAGGAGGTGGAATTTGACAGAAAGCAGAGACGCTTCAGGCGAGCCAAGCGTGCTGCCCTGAAAGAGGCAAGCTGGAGTCAGCGAGCCAGCGATTTCCATTTTCTTTGGTGTCCATTGGCGAAGAGCTGAGAGGGTTCCCACATTTCCCACTTGTTGCATGTCGCAGGCTCGAGCGAAGGAACCTTATTTCAAGTTCTTCTGGAAGGCCAGGCCGCGCAATTTTAGAAAGCCATCAAAAGCCGCGAAATTGCACAGGTGATGCCTGTTGGGTCTGTGCTGTCCAGGACAGGTGGGTTGGTTCAGCAAAAACCGTGGTTGCCGTTGTGCAAAGTGCCATCATCATCGTCTTCGTTGTCGTGACTGGTTGTTGTTGCTGCTGTGGCCGCAGTTTTTTGAGCTTGTGCTGGAGCATGCAAGGAGACCTGTGCCAGTTTGAATGAGCACTCTTCCGAGGCCATTGTTTTGCTTTAAGATCCGGTCTTGCGATGTGGGATAGGATGACAAACAAGCAGGGAAAGAATCTTGTGACATGGAATCTGAGTAAGGTGATGAACAAAAAAGTCCCACGAAGACAAGGGGAATTCAATTTGACTGCTATGGCTGAAGGAGTTGAATTCCTGCCAATAACAGTCAGAAGGAAAATTGAAGGAGTTGACAAGTCTGTGTCCTTCAATACTTTTCTCTGCTTTTTCTCTCCTTCAATAACTTGTCAGAAACACAGAGAAAACCACCCAGCCCTGCCAATTGTGCTATTTTGCAAGGTTCTATATTTTTTTGGCTGTCAGTATCAACGAGGCCCAAGGGTTCCAGCACAACTCCACGTATATAGAAACCATTTGATCAAAAAAAATCGAAATCGTTGCCTTATTTTGAAGCTTCGCTGACTCGTTGAATCGCTGTTTTGGTTCTTGACACGCCGAGGGTGTCTTTGCCAGAAGACATCGGCATTAGCGAGAAGCTGGAAAAGCTTCGAATCACGCCCAAGCGGATCAAGAGGCGGCGCTGTCTTTCTCTTACCTGAAGGAAATTGATTTGAAGGGACTTTTCTGCAGGACAAGCCTCCTTTCTAGTAGGGCTTTGTGCTGGGTTCATGAGTTCTTACTCTGTGATCACTGTGATTGTCACAGGTTGCCATTCTCTATCTTGAAACTCTAGAAAAATGCCACACCACCGGGGCAACTTGAAGAGTTGCCAGCTTGGAAGAGTTTTGGGTCTGGATCAGGAAGAAGCCACATACTATAAATCATTATAAATCACATGGTGGGGTCCCATCCATTGTGGCTGGATACAGACTTGACCAGCTTTTCACCGGGTGGTGGGCCAGGTGTGCGATTTCTCATAGCTGTGCTTTGATGCTCACACCTTACACTTTCCTGAGGCTGCTTGTAGATAGAAATCCTTTGCAAGTGCCAGATATCACAGCATTTGAAATGGAGAGCGCCCTGACCTCAGCTTCCAAGCAGAAGATTTGAGAGAAAGTGTTTGCAAATCGACGGTTTCTTGGCGCAACTAAAGTTGAGAACGTTCAGGGTGCAGCTGGCATGAACCGAGCTTTCGAGCTTCTCCAGGTGGCATGTCGTGGCTCAGAGCAATCTTCGCTGAGCAAATCAGAAATTGTTGCGCTTCGAATGCCATTGCTTTTCGGAGCACAAGAAGGAAGCGGAGGCGGAGGGACAGTGCAAGACATAGTTTTCCCTTTGCTTTTCGCATTTTTCGCCCTCTATACTCTACATATGTGTATACACCGGTACCGCTGACTGTTGGTTTCGAAGCAAGCTTCAGATTTATCAGGCATTTTTTTCAACCTTTGGCCCTGAGGGCACTTCAAAATTCTGCAGATAATCAAGGGAAAGACCAAAATGTTTTTGTATTTTGTGGGTCTTTTACATGACTGTCATGTCTCAACATTCTTGGAGAAGAGAAGCTTTTCTACCCAGGCAACGCACTCAGCTGACACTGCAAAATGAGGAGGGTCAAATGCATCATTTCAAAGTGGAAAGAACTCACCATCACTACAGCAAAGACCAATCCTCCTTAATATTCTAGCTTGAAGATGATTCCTTGCCAGACGTGCGTAACATTTGGTTTCATTGGGATGCATCTCAGTAGCAATATATAATACACAAGTACTGAAACTCTCCGGTGAGAACATGTGAGTTTGCCTGACTCCTGTTGAGCTTTGCTTTTGGAAGGAAGCCCAGCTGTCATTGAGAGCTTCCGTCAGAGAGGTGCGAACTTGGGTCTTTTGCCCTTCACTTTTCGTGCTTTGTTTGTCAGAAATGACAGGAAGCTAAAGTTCTGGAGCTGGAACACCAATTGGCTGCTGCAGAGGACTTACAGAGACCAGAGACACGTCCTGTCCTAGTCATCGGACAGTTTAGTAGCAGCCAAATGGATGTTCTGAACCAAAGTATTGCATCAATGCTGAACTTGTTTTCCACACATTTGCACCCTGTCAGTTTAGCGAACAAGCGGTGAGGATGATGTTACTGTCCTTGATCGTTGGTACTTTGGACATTGCCTTGAAGACCAGGTCTGACGGTGAAAACTTGGATAAAGGAAAGTTGTGAGGATCACACTGGGCACAGGCTGAGATCATGGCCATCCGCGATGCGGAGCAGACCTACCTGGTAAGGAAAAGGTGAGCAGCTTCAGTTCCTTACAGTTCCTGCCGCACAAGCAGTTAAGTCAAGTTGTTTTGGTCATCTCCTTGATGCCTTGCCAGAAATGGTCAGGCATTTGTTCCAAGGGCAGCAGGCATTGGTTGATCTCAATCAGTTGTCATTTTTGTGATATGTTTGTGCCTCACTAATTATGAGATATCCACCATTGAAGTGTTACAGGAAGAGAAGGAAACTGCAACAGGACTGATAAGTCCAGAGAGGGAGGCCTGGTCACCTGGTCTCCACTTCTTCATCCGAAGGAAAGTGGCTGTAGGAATTCTTCATGTCCAGATTCGCCAGGTATTTCTGGATCCACAAAGCCATCACAAGGCGTCCGAGAGGTCGCGTTAAGGCGGAGGACTCCTTTGGTCGTGTTTTGTACATCGTAGGAAGTTGGTAGCTGGCAGCAAGACCTACATCACCAAGCAGGAGTGGTATAGCTGACCATGGCTGGCTATCCATACCTTCCCGTCCTCCCTTTGTGTTTGATTCTCGTTTGGGGAGCTTGGCTCTGTCAGCCTCCCTTCCAACATCTCTACATTTCATATCTTTCAATTTCTTCTCTTGTAGCTTTTTCCCTCAGCTTCTTCCCTCCTCAGCCCTGCTAGTCTTCCCCGTGCGCATCTCACTTCCCTTGGGGTGGTCTCTCTTTCACTTCTATTCCTGGACAATTTTGTTCATCATCTCAACAAACAACTCGCCCCACCCCATCCATTTGGACTCGCCCCTTGTTTTGAGCCATCTCGTTTAATCTTGTCATATAGTCTGGGCAAGCAGCTCCAAAGGTGTCCCAGGCCTCTTGCATCAATTTATGTCCTCTTAAACTGTGTAATAAAGATGAAGTCATTCGTGTTATCACAAACCAATCTCACACTGTTTCATATGATGTAACATCTCGTATCATCTCGTTCTAATCTCTCGGTACTCCTGCTCCTGAGCAGTCACTCCAGCTTTTTTTTTGAATTACTTTTCAAATTTCATGTGAGTTGCCTCGTTTTGGTTCGTCTCCTCCCGTTCACATTTCCTCATCTCCTTTCTCCCTCCTGCTATTTCAGCTCGTTTTCCATCTTTGCTTGTCTTGCGGTCTCCTCTCCTGTCTCATCTCATCTTGACAATTTGCCACGCCTCTCCTCGTTCATTTGGCCTGATATCGTGTCATCTCTCTTTGGTTTTACGTTGACGTACACATCATTTTGCAGAGGGTTTTTTCTGATCTCTCTATCTCTAATTCACCCCTCTCGCTCAAGTTGGTCCAAGCAGCGTTGAGGTTGTGCTTGAACTCAAAGTTGGATGTGCGGCAGAAAGCGATGGACTGTCAAGATGAGCATTTCAAAATGTACGATGTTTCCGTCATAGTATGGTGCGCGCAGGATGATTTGTGGGCGACTATTCAAGATGACAAAGTTCGTTCAGAGGGCCTTCTGGAAACCAACTGTATCGCTGCTGCCCAGATTCATGCTGTCGAGGTGCGCTTGGAAAGGCTTTTGGATTCGGAAAGTTTGCCCCAGCTGCCAATGTCTGGCAAGCCTTTTCCAAAATGAACTTGCTGAGGCAAGAGATGCCTTTGTGATCCGAATTGCAGATGCACTTTGCATCGACTCCTTTGCTCTTCGGCAAAGTCTTTGGTGACCTTAGCTCAAGTGCTGGCCATTTGTAATCATTTGTGCATAAACAAAGCGTTTGGAAAGCAAGCCTTTGGCTTATCAAGCAGTTCTCTGAAGACGAAATGGCCAGGAAACAGCGATCGCTCCGAACGACAGTGTCACGGACTGGGCTGTGTCAAGCTGTCGGTGTCACACCTGGAGTCCTACATTGCGCAAATATGACTACAATGACCCACAAACGTGATGAAATTCGCAAGTCTACAAATCATGGATGTGTAAGACTTCTTTGTTTCGTGAAAACTTGAAGTCATTTAGCTAGGGTTTCAAACTCCTGGTCCCGTTCTGATTTTGAATGTCCTACATCTTGCAACATGTTGGCGTAGAGACACCAGGATCCATCTCAGTCAGGAGCAAGGCGCGTGCTTCCACCAATCTTTGAAAAACACTTTCTAGAAAAACAAAGTTTGAAAGCAGCGGAAGGCCCACCTTTGAAAGAATGGTGTGACTTTCGTTTGAAAGCATTCTTGGCAGGGAACAACTAACAGATGAATTGACAGCTCCAATTGGACTGCAGCCAGTGCTTGCCTTACGGATCCGAAAAGGCTGGCGAGCCACTGGAAGTCTTTGCGGCCGCAGCCAGTCAGACTCTTAAGCCTTAAGCCGCTGTACCTCTGTGCTGCACCTCTGTGCTGCTGCATTTTAAATCATTTTAAGGTCGCGCGCAGAAACCACTGCAGAAGTGAAGGACCTTCTGAAAAAGGCAAACCCAGCTTTTGTGTGAAAGAAGTCTTGAAAGAAGTCATGACTTATGGCCCAGTCAGCCAGGTCAGCCTCACTGAATATGATTGTCAACAGCTTAACAACCCCATTGAGGCAGGTCCTAAGATCTTTTAGATTCTTGTGGGAAGCTAGTCTTCAACATTAGCACTTGAGCCTAGCTGCCTGGCTTGTTTGCAGGACTCATAGAAACTCTTGTCATCTTTGGGGACTCATTGCCGTCCTTTTTCTTTTGTCGTTAAGGAGTTTTCTTTTCAACGGCTCAGCCAAGTTCCCACAGGAGCCTGGCCGAGTCTTCTTGGAAGTCACGACGACGCGGTCTCCGACGGAGTTCGATGCCAGGGACCTTGGGCGAACTGCCAAGTCCCGATTCCTACGAAGAGTTCTTGGAAGAAAAAACAGATGAGGTAACAGCATTGACAGACGTGAGTAGCGGCATTTGATTCCTTTTATCTCTGTCAACTGGCGTCATGTTTGTCTGAAATTGAACGGAACAAAGGTTTGGGTGTCAAATTGGTTGTTGGCTGTCATGCAGAAATGCTGTTGGTGCTGTTTCCTTTCAGCAGAAAGGCAAATCCTTGTCATTTTGAATTTGAGCACCCCGATCTCATACAATGTCATCAGACAAGGATTTGTTTTTTGTTCACTCTGAGATCCACTTTCAGCCCTCTCTGGATTTCTGGAGTTTGGCTTTTCATAGGATTGAGCATCCATGTTTGCAACATGTGTTGTGAGTTTCATGGTTTGCGTTCATGTGCAATGCTGTGCCCCAGTCAACGTTGAGTAGAAGACAAAGCAGACAGCGATGAAAGCCAGAACATGGTTTTCCTGTGAGGCGATTAAGAAGGAGAAGCCGAACAAAGTGAAATGTGATGCGGATGAGATAGAAATATTTAGCCAACAGGACCACCAGTTATTTGTGCCACCAACTTCTTTGCTAGTTGCAGTTGCGTCAATGACTAAGCAAGATGGCGCCTTTCAAACCAGTGCCTCAACTTGTCGCATGCTTCTCATGGACTTGCAGGATGGAAAGTGGATTGGGGAAGAAAAGATGTCGGCAAGCCTTCGGGACACAGACGAGCCCGGCACTTGGTGTTTTGTTTTTTCAGCAAGTTGAACGACAAGTACTTGCTGAGTCTTTGTTTGCAACCCTTGATCTTGCTTGGCTTTGAGGACAGACTGTTAGTTATGGTTTCTTGATACCATCAACATAGGATGTGCCTTTCTCAGCTTTCTCAACCGTTCTGGAGTTGCATGGTCAGGAAGTGTTGCTTTGTTGCTTTGTCGGATGAGGTTCTCGAAACCCATTTGAGCGCATGGACTATAGACAGCGTCAACAGTTACATGATTTTACCTTCACTTCGAAAACCAAACAGCAGAACATTCGATACAAATATTTTCTTTCTTCTCTGTTTGCTCATGGATGTCTGGAAACTGTTCTTACTTCACCCGTTTTGTTTAACCTCGAGAAAGTTATGTGCCAAAACGATCAGAAAGAGCAGAAAGGGAGTCTTTGTTTTCTCCCTGGTTTTGGAGGGTTGACTTTTTAGGACAGTAAATCAAGAAGATGTCCCAAGAGGACTTGACGTGCAAAGTCTCAGCTTTCAAAATGTTATCTCTGCAAAGTCTTGGAGCTATTTTGAGCTGCTTTCTGCTCACGCAAACAACTTCGGCTGAAGTGGCTCATTTTCAGAGCAGTCTTAACCGCAAATCACAACTGCCAAAAGAAACCAACAGCGTACTTTCTCAATGAGCGTTCGATGGTCGTACGATGTTTTTCTGTCGAAACTGTGCTCTCGGCTTGAAATTCATAGGAGACAAGCCAGCATTGAAAAGTTTGGAGTTTTAACCTAGATTTGAGAATTTAAACACTTTTCTAATCGTGTTCGCAAGAAAACGTTTCTCTTTTTTCTGGTCTCTCGCAACGTTGTGAGACTTTATACATCCGCAAAGCGGACTCTTCAACGGCTGTTGGTAGGTGATCCTGCTGTCCTTCGCTCACAAACCTTCCTCTTTCTTGTCCTCAACGGAAATCTTTTCACGGAAACGAACTTGATGATTAGTTTAAAGGAGCAGAAGCTTGTTATTGGATCGAGTTTGTTGACACAGCTGGAGTTCTTGGATCATTTTTGTTTGCAGCTTGACTACCAAGGCAGCTGCGAGTGATTCTCAGCTGCGCAGTGGCCTGAACTTGTTTGAAAAGGTGTCGCAGCTGAGTGTTGAGAAGATTTGCAAAAATGAGCACGGAATCTTTTGATCTGTGCTTCTCAAACCACAAGATGCAGACTCCCCATGAGAGCGCCAAAATTTGTTGCAAACCAGCAGTTTGGATCCTACGCTGTTGAAAAAGCAATGCTTTCAGTCACGCTTTGAGCTAATGATTGAAACGGTAGCGGCATTTGCCTGGCTTAGCACTTTTGGCTTTTCTCGATACCCCAGGCCCCGAGTTGGTTTCAATGGACATGGTTTTTGTTCAATCATTCGAAAGAAAGACAAGAAAGATGGTCTTCAAAGTTCTGCAAGTCACGTTGATGGATTCTGATGCGTGCAGCTTGTTCACTCCTTAGAGTATGCAATTGTTGTCATTATTTTTCCTTACATTAGTGGCCCTTTCATGCTGCTATGAGAGCAAGGGAACGGAAACGAGGCATGTGATGTCTAATGATCAATATTTCAATGTTCGTATGTGTATGCATTCCATATGCTTGTTAGAAAGCTGCTAACAAGAAAACCACCTTGACAGGCTTGATCATTTTGGTTGCAGTGTGGCTTGTCTCCGGGTTTGTTGCCTCACCCTTAGCTGACAGTGGATCCAAGTGGAGTTGCAACTTACTTCTTTTTGAGAGCCTGTTGCCAATCGAATTGGGTCCCGCATTTGTGCTTGAAGGTGAGCCCATGCAGATCTTTCTGTTCGCAAAAGCCTAGTCAGCGACATTGTGTGGGACCTTTGCGTGCAGTGCCCAACAAGGACCAAGAGGAAGAACCGTTGCACCCACAGACGTGTTGTGTGTTGTGCACTTCAGGCAAACTTAAAAGTTGTTCCATTCAGCTGTTCCATTTGGTTTGGCGCAGGAACCACAAGGAATCAAACCAGTTGAGGAGATGGGCTAGTTGACGTCCCCAAAAATGTGCTGGTTTGAAGACATGTGACCCAAACCCAGCGCAGTAATTCCTATGTTCCCAGTCAGCTCTGCTTGGTGATCTTCCGACGAATGAACTTTTGCCATGGAATTTGTAACAGACAAGGCCCTGTCAGAGTGCTTTCATAGCGCCTTTTTTTCAGCTCGCAGGAATCGGCAAGAGATGAGGCACACGGCTGTTAACCAATTGAATTCCCGTTTTTTTCACAAAAGACACCTTCACTTTGTCCACTGGTTGAAAGCCGTTGCTTCACGTTTCGTCTTCAAAGCCTAAACCTCTTCTTTCAAACAACTTTGCTTGTGCTTCGAAGATTCCCTGCGACATGTGACACATGTGACGTGATTGCTTCTCTTGTCATCTAGTGTCCAGTTTTGCTTCTTCTAACCGAAAGAAACAGAAGAAAGACAGGGAAGTCATCAGAGTTATGTTCTTTTTGCAACAGACTGCGCTCAGACTGCACAAGAAGCCAAGAACATCAATTCTATTTGAAGAGACGTTCTAGTTAGTCTTAATCCCTTATGTTCTCATTTCTCGGTTTGTTTTCATGTTTAGTTTTTGTTCCGCAAAAACTGGCTCCGCTATGAGCACCTGTGACAGGTTGATGCCTTGACTTCGGCACGACGTCAGCTGAAACTTGCTTTGGACCAGCAAGAAACTGCGCAAGCGCAAGTAAACAGTGCGCAAGTGCAGGTAGACATGGCCGTGGAGGACTTGCGAAAGGCCAAACAAAAAGGAGATGAGCAGAAGGTGGAAAAGGCGGAGGAGAAGGTGGAAAAGGCAAAGGAGAAGGTGGAAAAGGCGGAGGAGAAGGTGGAAAAGGCAAAGGAGGAGGTGAAAGAGGCGAAGGAGGAAGTGAAAGAGGCGGAGGAGAAGGTGGAGGAGAAAGCCCAGCAGGAGAAGGCTATTCGCTGCACAGCTTCAGTGTTGTCACAGTTCTCCCGAAAGATGCACAAAAAGATGAAAGCTACTTCACATATCTTCACATTCTACGGTTCGAACTCAGTTCTGTTTCTTCAGTGAACCCTCAGTATGCCTCCAAAAGATGAATGAATCCCAAATCACCTTACTGGAGATGTTCTGCTCCAGGTGCCAGGCTTGGAGAAGGCAAAAGAGGAATCCCTACCCTTACTTGAAAAGTTTGCCGGAGAGTTGGATGATCTTGAAGAGCGCTTCTTGAACAGCCGCATCAACAACAAAGAAGACATGCCTTTCTTGGAGCGGGATGACGTGATTCAAAGCATCGTGGAAGAGATGGAGAAGACGCGGCACTCGAAAGAAAACAAACCAAGAGTCGTTGCTTTGTGGAGCCCTCGAGGGACAGGAAAGACTTCAGTCATTCGACGCCTGGCCAAGATGGATGAATATGCAGAAAGCCGTCGATGTGGACGCTTGCTGATATTCGACGCAGCATGGATTCCCACACAAATGTCGGTTGAAGCCTCTACGTTGGTGTCTGCCATGGTCCTATGGCACCTTCTGCAGCTGCTTGACGGCTACGGCGTTAAGTTGGCGGGGCAGGTGGTCAACTTCAAACGCATGGATTTCAAGGATGTGGTCGAGGTCGTCGAACGTCGTTCAAGACCAACTGGTTCGGTCAACAGCTTTGAAGCTTGGGTTAGGTCAGCTTGCACGACTAAGGATGATGTTTTCAAGCAGTGGTGTTTGGTAACGGCTGCAGCCTTCAACGCTCAACAGGACTGTGCTTGCTTGGTGTTGTTGGATCAGACTGAGCTCCTTGTCAAACAAAGGCTGGGTCAGCCAAGCTCCTTTGGCGGAAGCAGATCAAGGTTCACCGAAGTGTGTAGCCAGTTTCCTCAGCAGATGGCTGTTTATTGCACAGGCACCGTCAATATACAGCTTGACTTACCCGCAGCGGAGTACACACGTCTCTATATTATGTCTTTACCAGCTCTTCGGCCATTATCTTTGGAAGGTGCTAAACAAGTCATGCAACAGCGGCAAATGACGCAATACAAGGATGAGGTGTTCAATCAAATATTTCTTTTGTCTGCTGGGGTTCCACGACTTCTGGGGTTTGTTTTTCGGACAGCTGGTGAATTAGCATCAACTATTCCGGTTGCATTCAACGCCATGTCGGGTTGCTTCAAAGAGGCCTATCAATCTGCGGCGCCATTTTTTGATCAGCCTGAAGTTGCTTGGCCGTTGGTTCTTTGCTCAGCAGTCCGCTGGAAAGCAACAGACAGCAAGCTTGTGCCTGGTACATCAAAAAGGTGGGCAGAGGTTTTCGAGGCAGGAGCAGCATTTCCAGACAACGGTTCTGTGTTGATTCCACGAGTTTGGTGGTGTGAGGATGACGAGGTCGAGACTGCTTTGATTCGACAAGGTTTGAAGGTGAACATCAGCCTGGAAGGCCTCTTGCCAGATCCCGCCAAGTTGCTTCAGTCGATGTCTAAAGGCCCACTTTTCCGAGGGACACTGTGGGAAGAGCAGGTTTGCAATGCTTTGGCCGCCCGTTTTCATTTGTTCTGCCTGGCAGCTGACAAAACTCCATGCGACACCTACATACCTTTTCTAGATATCTATCCTACGACAGACGACCATTTACGCAGTGTATTGGAACAATTCAGTGTTTGCTGGAGCAACGGGGTCGAGTATCCAAAGAAGGAAGCAAGTGTCCTGGAGAGGGTCGGGAAGGCTATCAAGTCCAACAAGAACATCAAGAATGCTCATCACGACTTGCTGATCCCGGTAAAGCGAATTGCAACAGGAGACCTCGAGTACATCGCAGCACAATGTCGCTATGGAATCCCCAAACCTGCAAAAGACTTGACTAAGACATGCCAGGACAAAACCAGAAAACCCAGCAAGAATGAGACGAGAAATGACCTTCCTGACATGCCGAATGTACTGCTGCAAATTTGTTCTGAAGCTGAAGGAATGCAGCAGTTTGATCAGAGGAAAATGTGGGCAAAACGCCAACGGGAGAAGAGATACTCACTCATGAGTTGTGAAGCTATAATCGCGCAGCTTGCCGTGCTCCGCATCTTGTGATAAAATGGCCACACAGATAGAGGACATGGACACCTATGGTCGGGGTTCGGTGAAGAAGTTTAGCACGGCAAAAATATAATGACAGCAACTATCAATAAATTTTGAGCAACCTGACGGGTCGAGGATGACATCGCGTTTCAGCCTGTCGTTCAAAATCCCCACAACCCCAGTTGACAGCGCGATTCGGAATGTAGTTAACCAACTTGCATTGTGAAATCGCGCTTGTCAACTCAGACGTTCACCAGATAGTCGTTGGGATTCCTTGGCTCAAGTTGCTTCGACTCCACATTGAAGGACTGTTTCTTATCCGGATGTGCTTCAATGCGGGTTCCATCGGCATTTTGAAATGTTTCATGCAATTCAGGTCTTCTATGCCTGTGCCGAAACCAGTTCACATATCGCATTGGATGGCGTTGATTTTTATAGATGCAGTGCTTCGAAAAACCGTTTCTAGTGGGTGCCATGGTTTTTTCCATGAGATGAAAGGCTATGGCAGCAGCCCAAGCTTTGGAGCAACGAATCTGTCCGCAGCCCCTGGAGGTGAAGCTGGGGCCCAGCTGCCATGGCCACACGAAAGGCTTTAAGAGCTTTGGGCAACCATGAAGATTTTTGATTGATTTATCTATGATTTATCCGATTTGTGCTGCAGGTGGGCCCAGCCTTCGCTAAGCGTCTTCTATGCATGGCTCTAAGAAAGTGACACTTGCACGGCGTGCACCTTGGGGTAGTGATGTTCGACTTGTTCAAGATGCCGGGCCCTCAGAGGGTTTTTCTTGATCAATGTGGATGGTCATTGTGTTCCTTTCCTCTTGCAATGAAATCTCCGTTTTCCAGAGACAAAGGTCTTCTACTTTGCTCAGCCAGCGACAAGCAGCTGTGCCGATGTCTTCGCACGCGTCAACATCTCAGCCTGATCTTCGGTTTGCTCAAACCACCATAGAAGACGAGTGTCTTAATAGTCCTCCGTTTGGTGAACAAATAGGTTTAGTTGTTATTTGAACCAAATTGTCAATGACAGACGCTGAAGAGTTGAGGCTCTTTGAGCGGTTTGGGAGCGGCCAGTGCCTAGCCTATGCCGCTCCTTCAAGATGGTGCTTCACGGCATGTCTTAGCAGAGCGACGTGTTCAATTTCTTCCACTTGTCTCCTTTTACTAGATGGGAACAGGGTAGACTAGCATTTTTCATCAAAGATTCATTGACTTATTACTCATTCATCATAGTCAGCTCGCGTGCTGGGAAGCTGCAGAGCTCGCAAGTGGATCGTCTGTTTGCTAAATCTAGTCGGGATATTGTTTGTGCCTCTGCGCATCATTATGTGTGCACAATACTATATGCACAAATGGATTCATTCTGTGAAATCTAGTCGGGATATTGCCTGCGCTTTGGGCATCGTTTTGTGCCGCAAGAAACTATACGCACAAATGGATCATCTTTCGGTCAAATCTAGTTAAACTAACATATTGTTTACGCCCCTGCACATCATGTTGTGCGCACAATGTTATACAGAGAGCCGGAACGACATTATGTTAAATCTGGTGAGGATATTGTCTGGGCCTCTGCGCATCGTTTTGCGCGCACAATATTGTACGCACAAATGGATCATCATCTTGTGAAATATAATCAGGATAGTATCTGGGCCTCTGCGCGTCATTTTTTGCGCACAATGTTATGAGCCTCTGCTCATTTTGTGCAGAATGCTACACGCACAAATGGACCTGGTGTCTTGGGTCCATTCATTTTGTTGTTTGGGTTTCTGCGTATCCTTTTGTGCGCAATGTCATGCTAACAAATCGATCAAGTTGCACATGTTATCGCACACTGTCATCCCAATTTCGGGTCATGGGGTTCCAGTTGCAGTTTCTTTTCTTGGACTGTGTTCCAAATTGATGTTATGGGTTTTCAGGTTGCTGGTAAATTTTTCGCAAGTGCGAGTCCAAATTTGGAATCAGATGGTTTCACTTGGCCATTTGGTGTCCTGAACTGTGTTTCCAAATTTGGGGGTTAGAAGGTTTCAGCTTGCCATTTGGTCTCCAAGCCGGTGTGTCCTCATTTAGGGTCATAGGGTCTCAGGTGGCCATTTGGTTTCCTAAACATGCATCCCAAATATGAGTCTTAGGCATTTGTTTGCCATTTGGTTGGTGGACTGTGTGTCCCGGTGTGCTGGCCAGTGTGTCTCGTTTGGGGTCATAGGTGTTCAATTTGCAATTTGCTTTCCTCGCCCTTGTCCCACTTCGGGATCATAGCGTTTCAGGTTGCCATGTGGTTTCCTGCCCCGTGTGTCCCGATTTGGAGCAATTTTTTGGTTTCCAGGCCTGTGTGTCCAAATTTGCGGTCATGAGTTTTGTTTCCCGATTTAGGGTCATAAGGTTTCAGTTTGCCATCTTTTGGTTTCCAGGCCTGTGTGTCCAAATTTGCGGTCATGAGTTTTGTGTCCCGCTTTGGGGTCATAGGGTTTCAAATTCCCATTTGGTTTCCTGAATGTGTATATATCCCAATTCGGTGTTGCCGGATTTCAGTTTGCCATTTGGTTTCCTGGTCTGTCTGTCCCAATTTAGCGCCATAGGGTTTCAGGTGACCATTTGGTTTGCTGGACTGCGGGTCCCATTTTGGAGGTTATAGTGTTCTGTCGCAGCCATATAATTGCAAAGCACTCACCGGCCCGGCGCATCGACCAAGAAACAATTGAACATGCATAGTAAACAGGCCACCTTACGAATGGACGCTCGTCGTGAAAATGTCGATGTACCAGTGACCGTGCGTAGCGAACGTGTTGCATACGAATCGAAGGAAAGGTCACGCGGGCATACAACGCTGAATGTTTTGATGTTTAAATTCTATTTGTGTACGTGGACAGACATTGCGCATTTATGTTCCCAGGTCATGCGCGCACCCATGCACAGGTAATGTTGTTTTTTGGTTTCTTGGACCGTGTGTCGCAATTTCGGGTCTTACAGATCCAATTGGCCCTGTGGTTTCATAGACTGTGTCCCAATTTGGTGTCATAGAGTTTCAGGTTCCCATCTGGTCTCCGTGGCCGCGTGTCCCAATTTGTGATCAGGAAATCGTATCCTGGACGCGTCTCATTTTGTGGGTTATAATGTTTCAAGTTGCCATTTGGTTTCCTAGGCTGTGTGTGTGGATACGGCTGTCAGTTTGCCAATTTGGTGCGTATGGGCCCTCATACCAACCAACGATGACGATGCGGACACCGATGATGTGAGATTCAAAACACCAGATGGTCCATTTGTCCGTACTACATCGTGGCCACAAAATGGTGAGCGCACGCCATCCAAAATCACAACTTTTCAAAGCCTTTTCCAACAATAGAATAATCCCAAAATCGTGAATCCCAAAATTGTTGAAAAAACAATCAGATTAAATAGACCGCATGGTACTTATGACCTCCCACTATGAGGGGGGCAATTTCAAAACGACAAACACAGCAAGCACTTGAAACAAACTTCACAAAACCTTCGAAATTTCCGGTTTCAAAACTTGGCGCAATTTCTTTCCGTGGTCGGGTCGATTTCTTTCTATATTTTTGCAGTTCAACGCAACTACTCCGTATTCGTTGGGTGTTGGTCATGTTCAAACGCCGTGGTTTCGTGACCAAAGCGCTGCAAGATCCAACCAACTCCAACACAAACGAAAGAACGTCCACACCCTGCTCGGTATTAGGCAGCGGGAAACAGATGGAAAAGAAAAAACAAAACACATGGAACATGAAAGACATGAAAGAGACCGAGACAAAAATGGAAAGGGCGCGAAAGACAAATGGAACACACTGATGGTGGACATGATTGGAAGGGAAGGTGGTTTTGCTTATTGTCCCGGCACCCGGACAAAGGAACGGCAAACCAATTAAGGAAGACAAGCACAAGACAAGGGTCCCAAACCCAGGGAATGGATGGAGACAAGCGTCGGAGACACAAGAGCTATGATACGCCAAGCACTACCACATGTCAACACGTCCTGGAAAGAAAATTGCAGAAACAAAACAACCTCCGGACAGGAAACAATTACCTGACCATGTTTATTTGCACCGCCCTGCACCTCCCTCGTCCGACCACGAAGAAAAACACAAGCACAACACCAAAACCTCCAGGCTTGAGGTTCCAGGATTCCAGACTGCTAGCGTTCCATGGTTCCAGAACACCTTGGAACTCTGGAACCTTGGACCTTTGGAACCCTGGAACATAGAACCATGCAACGCTGCAACTCTGCAACCCCTGCAAAACACCAAAACCTTGAGGGTTGAAACTTCAAGGTTCCAGGTTCCAGACTGCTAGCATTCCAGGGTTCCAGGTTGTTGCAGGTTGTTCCAAGTTGTTCCACCTGCAACCCTAGAACCTTGGAACCCTGGATACTTGCAACCCTGCAACCCTCCAACCCTAGGACCTTGGAAATCTGTTGGAACCTCGGAACCCTGCTGCAAACCTGAACCCTGCAACGTTGGAATCTTGACCGGAATCCTGACCTTGAAAATCAGCAACCCAAGAACCTTGAAAACTTGCAGCCCTGGAACCCTGGAAGCCTGCAACCCTGGAACCTTGGAAACGTGCAACCCTAAACTCCTGAAACGCTGGAACCATGAAACTCTGGAACCCTGCGATTCGAAGGTTCCAAGGTTCCAGGGTGCTAGGGTGCCAGGGTTCCAGGATTTGAGGGGTTCCAGCGCTTCCAGCGTTCCGGGGTTCCGTTCCGTTCCCGTTTTTCGGTTGGAGAGCAAACGGCGCACCAGGCCCGACCCAGAGATTGAAACCCAACAGGTTCGCTGTTGGGAATTAACAAATGGCCATCACTAAGAATGACTAAGGATGGTTAATGATGTGTTGTCATAGTGATTAATGATGCTTAATGATGCGCTTGATAAGTGTTAATGATTCGTTAATAACGTTTGACGATACTGTTTATTGGTAAGAATGGTCAATTCACGTTGGCTAATAATGATTAATAGTGGTTGATACAGGTTAATTATGGCTAACGGTGGTTTACAATTATTGAATTTTGTTAGTGATGATTTATGATTGTTCATCATGGTCAATAGTGGTTTGTGGTTAATGATGGTTTATAATGAGTAATACGGGTTAAAACCACTAATTTCTTATAGAGGTGAATTATGGTTGATGATTAGTCAGTGGTCAATGGTGGTTAACAATGGCTAGTTGCGGTTG